TTGTGTCTGCTCCACAACTGGCTGGTTGATTGGTTGGAGGCTGGAGAGCGGCCAGTGACATAGCGAAGGGCTAAAGCTGCATGAATTTGGGCCAGGAATATCAGGATTCATTCAGACATTGGTTTAAAAAGCCACTGTGATGGGGTTCCCGGCATGCAACCTGGACTATGGGACCCCTGAGCCCTCTGTTCCAACACCCTGGGATTGGGAAATCCCTCTCACACTGTGATGCTCTGTGAAGCTGCAAACCTCTGGCAGGCCCTGCACTTACACAGCCATCCCCAGGCAGGGACACACCCAGCTGAGTTCCATGAATGACCTTGCAGCCACTCACGAACCATGAATAGGGGGGCTCCAGTCAATTCCTCCCGGCTCCCTGGCTTTGCACTCCAGAAATGTACTGTCCTGCATTGGTCAGAAGCGTGACAAGCGTAAGTTCCTTACCCAGTCGGCGCCTCCCCCGATGTGGAGAGCACAAACACCAGCCTTTGTAAACTGAGCTGACATTTCCCAGCACTTCAGCCAAACACACCGTTTTAGGTAGAATATAAAACAGGTTTATTAACTACAGACAGAGAGATTTAACTTGGTTATAAGCAGCGAGCGCAGAGATCACAGTTGGTTACACAAGAAATAAAAGTAAATTCCCAATCTGAGTTCTACAAAGTAAACAGGCTTTGAATCAAGCCATGTTTCACCTTCATAGATGGTACAAGCAGGTGACAGATCCTCAATAAGCAGGCTGGGACTCACCTCCAGCCTCGGTCCCCGTCCCCATTTCAAAGTCTTTGTCCTCCAGAGTTGTTTCCAGGTGTTGAGTTGTGGGGGGAATCAGGCCAAGCAGTGATGTCATTTCCTCTCTTTTATAGTTTCTTCCAGCTTCAGGAAAGATCTTTTGCTATGATGCGGGTCAAACTGTCTCCATTGTCTAGGTGCTCCCTCTCAGAAATCTCCATTTTATAAAGTTCCTGAGATAGTGGATTTTTGGATGGGTGCTGATCAGCCTTTAATGCTGTCTGGCTCCTCCATTGTCATACCTGAGAGGCTGGTTGTGGGTGTTCCCCAACATCAAAATTTACTTCAGTAACACACATATAGCAAAACTTCACAACCTCACAAACAATGACAGTACGTACAATGCAATGGGATATTAATGTTCAACAGATCAAGACTTTTAAAATCACACCTCACAAGGCAGATTTTGTACAGATCATATCATAATATTATGAAAGTGGTGAATATGGGGGTTTCAGGGTGCTGTTTTGAGGTACAGAGTGCAACAGCCACACATTTTATTTAAAGTCCCCAATATTTTAAACACCTCCTCACTTCATTGGCTTCCGAAACAGAGCTGGATATTTCTGGTTTTTTGAAACTTTTGGCAGAGTTTTGTAGTGTTGTCAACTCTTACAATTTGGTTGCAGCATTCACCAGGCTTCTCGTTTTCCTCCAAGTCCCCGATCCTGGAATCATATTATTAGCTGGGAAATTTTGCTTTCCTTTCTTTTTTTTTTTAGGTAAGTTTCTAGCCATTGTTGTTGAAGATAAAAGCTTGAAATGGCCGGAAAAAAAAATCATAAGGCAAAAAACAAGAACCCAAATGTTTTTCTTTTAAAACCAATCTCATGATGTTTTGGGGGTGGCTCATGAGGTTTCAAGGCTTGGGCTTGGCTATAAAGAGACAGGACTAGATTTTTAAAAGTGGCTAAGAGAGTTAGGTGCCAAATTGCCATTGAAATTATGAGTTAAGCACCTAACTCTTATACGTGCTTTTTTAAAATCTCACCCGTAGAAGCCTAAGTCAATTCAATTACATCATGTAATGCAAGACAGCTCAAAAGTAACATTTAAGTACTTATATACAAATGCTAGAAGTCTAAATAGTAAGATGGGTGAAATTGAGTGCCTCGTATTAAATGAGGATATTGACAAAATAGGCATCACAGAAAGTTGGTGGAATGAGGATAATCAATGGGACACAGTAATACCAGGTTACAAAATATATCAAATATATCGGTAGGACAGAAGAGGACATCCTGGTGGGGGATTGGCACTATATGTGAAAGAAAGCATAGCGTCAAATGAAGTAAAAATCTTAAATGAACCAAACTGTACCATAGAATCTCTCTGGATAGCAATTCCATGCCCAAATAATAAGAATATAGCAAGACGGATATACTATCAACCACCTGACCCGGACGGTGATAGTGACTGTGAAATGCTCAGGGACATTAGAGAGGCAATAAAAGTAAAAAATTATGGGGGATTTCAACTGTCCCCAAATTGACTGGGTACATATCACCTCAGGACAGGACACAGACATAAAGTTTCTTGACACCATAAATGACTGTTTCTTGGAGCAGCTAGTCCTGGAACCCACAAGGGGCGAGGCAATTCTTGATTTAGTCTTAAGTGGAGCACAGCATCTGGTCCAAAAGGGGAATATAATGGAACCGCTTGCTAATAGTGACCAGAATATAATGAAATTTAACATCCCTGTGGCAGGGAAAATGCCACAGCAGCCCAACATGGTAGCATTTATTTTCAGAAAGGGGAACGACATAAAAATGAGGAAGTTAGTTAAACAGATATTAAAGGAGCAGTGCCAAAAGTGATATCCCTGAAAGCTGCATGAAAACGTTTTAAGGACACCATAATAGAGGCTCAAAAATATATCCCAAATTAAAAAACATAGTAAGAAAACGAAAAAAGGGCCACCGTGACTAAACAACAAAGTAAAAGAAGCTCTGAGAGGCAAAAAGGCATCCTTTAAAAAGTGGAAGTTAAATCCTATTTGGGAAAAGAGAAAGGAGCATAAACACTGGCAAGTGAAAATACCATTAGAAGGCCAAAAGAGAATTTGAAGAACAGGTAGCCAAAGACTGAAAAAGTAATAGGAAGCCTGCTTAACAATGAGTGGGGCCCCTGGACGATCGAGATGCTGAAGGAGCACTCAGTGATGATAAGGCCATTGCAGAGAAACTAAATGAATTCTTTGTATCAGTCTTCACGGCTGAGGATGTGAGGGAGATTCCCAAACCTGAAACATTCTTTTTACGTGACAAATCTGAGGAACTGTCCCAGAGTGAGGTGTCAGTAGAGGAGGTTTTAGAACAAATTGATAAAATAAATAGTAATAAGTCTCCAGGACCAGATGGGATTCACCCAAGAGTTCTGAAGGAACTCAAATGTGAAATTGCAGAACTACTAGCTGTGGTATGCAAAATCATTTAAATTAGCTTCTGTACCAAATGACTGGAGGATAGCTAATGTGACACCAATTTTTTAAAAAGGCTCCAGAGGTGATCCTGGCAATTACAGGCCAGTAAATCTGATCTCAGTAATGGGCAAACTGGTTGAAACTATACTAAAGAACAGAATTAACACACATAGATGAACATAATTTGTTAGGGAAGAGTCCTCATGGTTTTTGTAAAGGGAAATGATGCCTCCGCAATCTACTAGAATTCTTTGTGGGGGTCAAAACCAATACGGACAAGGGTGATCCAGTGGATATAGTGTACTTGGAGTTTCAGACAGCCTTTGACAAGATTCCTCACCAAAGGCTCTTAAGCAAAGTAAGCTGTCGTGAGATAAGAGGGAAGGTTCTCCCATGATCAGTAACTGGTTAAAAGATAGGAAACAAAGGGTAGGAATAAATGGTCAGTTTACAGAATGGAGACAGGTAAATAGCAGTGTCCGCAGGGTCTGTACTGGGACCAGTAGTTTTCAACCTATTCATAAACAATCTGGAAAAAGGAGTAAAAAGTAGGGTGGCAAAATTTTCAGATGATACAAAACTACACAAGATAGTTAAGTTCAAAGCAGACTGTGAAGACTTACAAAGGGATTTCTCAAATCTGTGTGACTGGGCAACAAAATGGCAGATGAAATTTAATGTTGATAAATGCAAAGTAATGCACATTTTAAACCATAAACCCAACTATACATATTAAATGATGGGGTCTAAATCAGCTGCTACCACTCAAGAGAGAGATCTTGGAGTCATTGTGGCTAGCTCTCTGAAAACATCCACTCAATGTGCAGTGGCAGTCAAAAAAGCTAACAGAATGTTGGGAATCATTAAGAAAGGGATAGATAATACGACTGAAAATATCATATTGTCTCTATATAAATGCATCTCAAAAAAGATATATTGGAATTGGAAAAGGGCTAGAAAAATGATTAGGGGTATGGAACGGATTGCATATGAGGAAAGATTAATAAGATTGGGACTTTTATACTTGGAAAAGAGATGACTAAGGGGGGATATGATTGAGCTCTATAAAATCCTGACTGGTGTGCAGAAAGTAAAGAAGGACGTGTTATTTACTCCTTCCCATAATACAAGAACCAGGGGTCACCAAATGAAATTAATAGTCACCAGGTTTAAAACAAACAAAAGGAAGTATTTCTTCACACAACACACATTCAACTTGTGGAACTCTGCCAAAGGATATTGTGAAGACCAAGACTATAACAGGGTTATGTTATATTCTGATTGACACACAGTGAGGTTCCTATGGGCCTAAATGCTTTTAAATATAGGACTTAGATACTTTTGAAAATGTTACCCTTTGTTTCATAGACTCGTTGATCTTCAAGAAACACCACATTTCTAATCTGAATTTGTCTACGTTCAACTTCCGTTCACTTGATTATGTTACACCTTCCACTGCCAGACTGAAGAGCCAGATATTAAATACTTTTTCCCCACATAGGTACTTATAGACTGATCAAGTCATGCCTTTACCGTCTCTTTGTTAAGATAAATAGATTGAGCTCCTTGTGTCTCTCACTCCAAGGCAGGTTTTCAAATCCTGCAATCATTCTCATGGCTCTTCTTTGAGTAAGGCAAAAAAAATTCAATTGCTAAAAAAAGACAATTTTGGGGTCAAGAGGAAGTTACAGGTCCCAGCGAACAGTATTCTTTCTCCATGCAAATATCGACAATTCATCCATTCTCCTATTCAGCCGGCTCTGGCCCTGAGTTGTCAGTGGTTTGGGGGTTGCGTACACGTTGCCGGTACCTCAGAAACTCTTCTTCCATGGTGAGATAGAAGATGGGGTTGAGGCAGCTGCTGAAATAAATCATGACACAAGCAAAAGCACTTCCTATTCGCAGAAGAGGCAATTGATATATAGGTGAGATCTGCAGGAAGAAGAAGACGTGACATGGCAGCCAGCAGAGGAAAAAGGCCGGGATCAAACCAAGAAGGATCTTGAGGGGCTTGGTGGACTGGATCAGCCCGTTCCTTCTCAGCTTGGCAGCTAGAACAATGTAGAAGGTTGGGATCAAGATCAAGGCTAATGGGATCAGAAACCCGACCAGGAACTGGATGGCAATGGCGGCCTTCACCCTCTCTTCATCCAGTCGGAAATTTATGCTGGTGTTGGCAGGTGAGAGGAGGGATTCCCAGAGATCACTGTACCGGAAGCTGAATCCAAGAGACAGGGCCCACATGCCCATAGCAATCATGAAAGCCAGGCGGGGCGTGCAGTGGTTCTGGGCCCACTCAGGGCCTGCCACGAGGATGCAGCGATCGACACTGAGGGTCGTGAGGAGGAAGGCACTGGAGAACATGTGGAAGGAGGTGATGGTGCTGCTCAGCATCTTGGCCCAGTCTAAGTCTAGGATGAAGACGGAAATTAATTTGAGGGGCAGGAAGATGATGAAGATGAAATCAGTCAAGGCCCGGTTCCAGAACCACACGGCACTGGTCGTCCTCTCCACACGGGAGCCGGCGACGAAGAGGACGTAGCCATTCAATGGCACCCCGGTGAGGAAGGCCATACCACATAGCACCAGGAAGAGAATTGGAAGTGACTCCATTCTTGGAAGAGTTCCAGTCACAGTATCCCCTCCTCTTCCTCACGGCTCAGCTTGGGCAGCGCAGATGTTGTCCTGAGCAAAGGAAGGAAGAGCAATGAAAAGGGCGCTCGGAGAGGTCACTGACAGAGAGAGACAGCCACAGAGTTTATAATCTCCTCAGAGTTTATAAACTCCCCAGATCCTGAGCTAAAGTCAGATAGGATCAAATCCTTGTAGACCAAAGGCACCAATGGTTCGAAGATCTTTGGAGCATAGAGTCAGAGGGTTAGAAGGCACTGCAAAGGTCATATCGTCTAACTCCCTGCCAAGATGCAGGATTTGTTGTGTCTATTCTCTGCCCAAAGGTTTTTCGTTTTGCCCCTGACCTCTGACCACAGGCCCCACATTTAATTTCAACCGGTTGTAACCAGAGCGGATGAGGGGAGGGGGGGGCCGCTGGAAGGGGGGAGATCTGGGGGCAGTGGTGTGGGGGAAGGACAGAAGGAGATCCAGTGAGGAAGCTGGGGGGTTACCTCATTTCCTTACCCGTTTCTTGGGGGGATGCAGCGTCTCAGAGTCAAACCCTTTCCAAGGTCCCCAATGCGACGCCTGCAGCTCTCCTAGACTGGCTCAGCCCGAAGGAGGAAGCTGTTCATGTGGGGGTGGATCTGGGTAGGGGAGAACAATGAGTGGAGATCACAGGATGTGGCTGTGTCCGAATACTTCTGCAAAGTCTGGAAGGCCTCCAGCACCCACAGCTACATGCAGACGTTATGCGAACCACAAGCTCCTGTTAGAATATAGATATTCAGGCCCACTTGTAAAGGCCTATACTTTAAGAACTTAGGTGTATTTTTACCACTTAGCTAGTTACAGGGGTATAAAAACAAAGAATCAAAATCACAGTCCGCCTGTGTATGGGCCTTCTCTCACTAGGATAATTCATTAATGATCTGGAGGATGGCGTAGATTGCACCCTCAGCAAGTTGGCAGATGACACTAAACTGGGAGGAGTGGTAGAGATGCTGGAGGGTAGGGATAGGATACAGAGGGACCTTGATAAATTAGAGGATTGGGCAAAAAGAAACCTGATGAGTTTCAACAAGGACAAGTGAAGAGGCCTGCACTTAGGAATGAAGAATCCCATGCACTGCTACAGACTAGGGACTGAGTGGCTAGGCAACAGTTCTGCAGAAAAGGACCAAGGGTTACAGTGGACAAGAAGCTGGATATGAGTCAACAGTGTGCCCTTGTTACCAAGAAGGCTAACGGCATTTTGGGCTGTATAAGTAGGAGTGTTGCCAGCAGATCGAGGGACTTGATCATTCCCCTCTATTCGGCATTGGTGAGGCCTCATCTGGAGTACTGTGTCCAGTTTAGGGCCCCACACTACAAGAAGGATGTGGAAAAATTGAAAAGAGTCCAGCGGAGGGCAACAAAAATGATTAGAGGGCTGGAGCACATGATTTATGGGGAGAGGCTGAGGGAAGTGGGATTATTTAGTCTGCAGAATAGAGGAAGAATGTGGGGGGATTTGATAGCTGCTTTCAACTATCTGAAAGGGGGTTCCAAAGAGGATGGATCTAGGCTGTTCTCAGTGGTACCAGATGACAGAAGAAGGAGTAATGGTCTCAAGTTGCAGTGGGGGAGGTCTAGGTTGGATATTAGGAAACACTATTTCACTAGGAGTCTGGTGAAGCACTGGAATGGGTTCCCTAGGGAGGTGGTGAAATCTTCCTTAGAGGTTTTTAAGGTCAGGTTTGACAAAGTCCTGGCTGGGATTATTTAGTTGGGAATTGGTCCTGCTTTGAGCAGGAGGTTGGACTAGATAAACTCCTGAGGTCCCTTCCAACCCTGGTATTCGATGATTCTATGATAGTCTGAGGCCTTGTTCTTAGGCTAAGGCCTTTGGCTAAGCAGCAGGGGCAGTCATAAGCTGGGAAGTGAACGGTCACATCCTCACATCCCAAACCAGCCACACTGAAATAAGGGGGTATTGAGCTGTTAGGAAGACGATCCTGTCCTGATAGTGCCCATCACCACCAGATAAAGAAACACATCTTAAGATGGTGAAAGAAAACTTAGTTTGACAATATCCTGTCTGGCAAGAAATCACTTCTCAATGGTGTGGTTGTGAAACCCTCATTTCTGTATATTTTATCTTTATGCCTCCCACTTTTCTATTCTTAATCTGTCTGGTTCTGTAATGGTTTCTGTCTGCTGTATAATTAATTTTGCTAGATGTAAATTATTGAGGGTACTGGGATAAAATTGGTTAGAGAATTGTGCTACTATATGTTAAGATTGGTTAGTTAAATTTCAGTAAAATAATTGGTTAATGTATAGCTGAGAATATTACTCTGTAAACTGGGGAAAAACAGGAAGGGGGGGAAGGGAAATTGGACTCATGCTTGCTGGACATTAACCCCAATAAACATCACATTGTTTGCACTACAGACTGCTTGTCTTTTGCTGCTTGCTGTCTGCTTGACAAGAACCGGGGAAGTGGGAGGGTGGAGGGAAAGCCCTCTAACAGCTCCCCTCCCCCTGCTGGACCCTAGCAAGGTCTCTGCATTCGGCTGTCCACTTCCGTGCGCCGGCGGACGGGGCCCCCATAGGAGAGCAGGGGCTGAGACAGCCACGTCCAGATGACTCCACCGTGCGAGGTCCCAGGAGCAGAGACACCAGCTGGGACTCTGCCCTCCAGCCCCTCCTGGCTGGGGAAAGCGAGCAGAGCCCTGTTGTGAGTCGGACGTATGAGATTCTCAGCCCTGCTTTGCTGCAGGGAACCTACCCTTCGGCCCGGGCCATGTTACAGGCCAGCGAATGCTAAGGAAACCCTCACTGTGTGATAGAGACCACACAAACCACAGCCCGGCCTCCAACCTGCCTTCTTGTTTTGTCATTTGCCTGGAAGCCTCAGGCGTGGAGGCACTTTTCTCAATTAGGAGCAGGGCGGTGATTTTCACTCTGGATCCAGCACTGGTGCAACCACCGCTGGGATCCTGTGTCCGGTTCTGGCGCCCACCCTTCAAGAAGGATGTTGAGCAACTGGAGGGGGTCAGAGAAGAGCCACGAGAAGTATTAATGTACTGGACCCCGGGCTTGACAGAGAGAGACTCCAGGAGCTCAGTCAGTTCAGTTTATCAAAGAAATGTCTACACTGGGAAGGCTGCACCGATGCAGCTGCACCGCGGTAGAGGTTCAGTGAAGACGCTGTCTATGCTGATGCGAGAGCTTCTCCCATCGGCGTAGTTAATTCCTCCCTCTCCCATCGGCATAGTTAATTCCTTCCCCCCCCCCCCCGAGAGGTGGTAGCTGTGCTGATGGGAGAAGCATTGTCTACACCAGGCATTGGGTCAGTATAACAGCGTCACCCGGCGTGTTTCCACACCCCTGAGCGACATAGTTACAGCAACATCAGTGGCTAGTGTAGTGCAAGGGAAAGGGAAGGTGATGCTGTGACTTGATTGCCAATTTCTGATAAGTAACTGAATTGCACGTGTGCTGCCATCTATTGGCCAGGTGCTTTTACTGCCATTGTCAGCCCTGAGCCTTTGGATAAAATTCTATAGCAGTGGTTCTCAGGGGTACATTTAATCCTGGGGTTACGCAGAGATCTTCCTGTGGGTACATCATCAGCTCATCTAAATATTTGTCTAGTTTTACAACAGGCTACATAAAAAGCACTAACATAGTCAGTACTAACTTAAATTTCATACGATGACTTTTTTATACTACTGAATATACTGTCCATTGAAATGTAAGTGCATTATTTATATTCCAATTGATGTATTTCATAATGATATGGTCAAATGAAAATGTAAACTATTTATCAGTACTAGTGTGCTGTGAAACTTGTATATTTATGTCTGATTTTGTAAATAAGCAGTTTTAAAATTAGGAGAAACAAGACAAATGAGAATCTTGAAAGGGGTACAGTAATCTGGAAAGGTTGAGAGCCACTGGTCTTTTCTCACTGAGATGTGGCCACCTCTGGGGTGGGGCACGGGGGCTGTTTGTACATGTCACAGGGAGGAATGTGGGGGCTGCTGTGGGGAGTGAGATGGGGTCAGGGTTGCTGGAATAATTTGTATAGTGGGGGTGGTGAGAGCCACTGAATCGGGGGAGGGGTTGCTGTGGGAGGTGGGTTGGGGGCAATGAAGAACCTGGGGTGGGGAGGCAGAGACAGATCTGTGGATTTCACCCTAGCATTGAAGCTGGAAGGGTTAATCTCCCTTTATTACCTATGTCCTGAGCGAATCAGACACGGCATCTCAGAATTGATTCCCCCAACGCACACACGCCACCTGCAGCTGGGCCCCCCCCAGTCTCTGTCTGGGGGCAGGAAGCTGTCCTCTCAGTGGGGAACACAGGGGAGGTGGCTCAATGGGGCTGGGAGATGCTCACAAACCTGAGTCTGCAAAGCCTCTGAGGCGGTCAGCTCCGTGTAAGCCTCAAACAGATGGGCTCAGCTCTGTGGCTAATCGTGACATTCCGTCTGCAGAGATAGTTGCCTGCATCCAGGTCAGCCACATTCCAAGAGCAGGAGCTGAGCTGCGGTCGCATTGTGGCAAAAATTCAGCCAGTTCACACCTGGAAATGCACCAGACCCAGCTTGGGCCCCTGAAGTGCGGCTGGGTTGGGAGTGATTCGTGCGAGGATCCTGCCATCCTTCACCCCCGGTCACTCTTCGAACCTTCTGGAGAGACCTTGCTAGGTGGCGAGTGGATTGAGGATCTCTCAATTCATTGGCTGTGATACACATGACATTGCTCCACACCTGGCTGGTGGATGGGTTGGAAACTGGAGAATGGCCAGCAATGTCGAGAAGGGCAGAAGCTGCATGAATTTTTACCAGGAATATCAGGATTCATTGAAACAACAAGGAGTCTGGTGGCACCTTATGCCCAAATAAATCTGTTAGCCTTTAAGGTGCCACCAGACTCCTTGTTGTTTTTGTAGATACAGACTAACACGGCTACCCCCTGATACTTGAGGATTCATTGAGTCACTGTTTT